CCGCGGGGCTGCAGAGATGCTGGACACCGCGGTGGAGGGTCCCTGGCGGGGTGGCCGGGGGAAGCTGGCCCTGTTTGGTCCTGGCTGGGCTGGGAAGGCAATGCAGGCAGCCGGGGCGGGCCTGGAGCATCGCTCAGCCCTGCATTTGACATAAGACAAGCCGGTGCTCCTTTCCCACGCAGCCCGGCTCTGCTGGGAGGGGAAAGCCTTGCCCCGGACAACTAGAATTTGGCAAATCGGCATTATTGCAAGTAACACCCCGCTTCCCAGGAGCATTTGTCTTGTTGCTGGCTGGCGCGGGCCCCAGGAATCGGAGCTGCAGGGCCACATCCAGGCCCAGACAAACCCCGTGTCCAACACGACAGCCCTGGGCATCACCCCAGCCCCGGCCCCCCGGGAAAGCAGGGGGGCCGTGACCGCCAACGTCCTGCTCCTACGAAACGTTAATAGACGCTTAAAAGATCCCAGGCCCAGGCCGTGCCCCCGCTGCAGAGGAAGGTGAAATCCCCCAGTCCGGACCAGTCTGAGCAGAGGGGAAATCCCTTCCTGCCCCCAGTGCAGTGTGGGGCTGAGCCCGAGTGCGGGGCAAGACCCTCCAGCCAGGAACCGCTGGCTTCAAGCCCCAGCGTTGGCACAGCTCGGTCAAAGTCCCCAACCTGCAGCCAACACCCAGCGCCTCTGGGGGAGAATTAAAAACCCCCTTGACACATGGAGCAGAAAGGGGAGAAGGGGGCAACCAGCACAGCCCAGAGCCTGGGACATCCCCACCGCAGGGCACGGGCATCGCTGCACCCAGATTGTGCCCCCCAGAGCCCGTCCACCTCTCCTCGAACCCCCCAGTGATGGGGAGTCCCCCTCCTCCCTGGAGTCTCTCCCACGACCTCCCTGCCCTGCCAGCAAAGAAGTGCTTCCTGATCTCGAACCGAAACCAACTTTGCTGCAACTTCCACGTCCTCCTCCCTGCAGCAAGAAAAACAGCCCTGCCCTTCCTCCTTGAGAGATGCTGAGACTCCAGCCAGCAGCTCAGGGTTCAGCTGGGCCCGGGATGTATGTCTTAAAGACTCTCTGAGATGAAGCAAATCATTTGTCCGGTGACTCAGCGATAGGTTGTGGGACGCGGTTAGGGTCTAGCAGTGCCCCTGTTACAGCAGGGTCCCCGACACGGACAGCAGCGCCTGGCATTTGGGTTAGGTTCAAATCATGCTCGTGTCCATCTCTTCACTATAGGCAATGGAAAGGGGTTTGGTTTGTGTCTCTGGAGTCCTGTGTCCAGCTGTGGGCCCCCTGCTACAGAAAGGATGTGGATGTGTTGGAGAATTGGCAATGAAAGTGGTTGGGGGACAGGATGGGTGAGGAGAGACTGGGGGAACTGGGCTGATTTAGTCTGCAGAAGAGCAGACCGAGGGGGATTGAATAGCAGCCTTCACCTCCCTGCAGGGGGGCTGCAAAGAGGATGGAGCTGGGCTGGTCTCAGTGGGGGCAGGTGACAGAAGGAGCAATGGGCTCAAGCTGCAGCAAGGAAAGTTGAGATTGGATAGTAGAGAAAACTTAGTCACTACAGTGATGGTGAAGCATTGGAACAGGCTCCCCAGAGAGGTGGTGCAGTCTCCATCCTTGGTGGTGTTTAAGACCCAGATACACAAAGCCTTGGCTGGGATGATGCAGTTGGGGCTGGTCCTGCTTGCAGTAGGGGGTCGGACTAGATGTGACCCCCTGAGCTCCCTTCCCACTCTCACTGTCTGTGATTCTGATTTTTGCATCTAAAAGGTCACTTCTGCTTTGGATTCGAGCAGCCTCCTTAGCCCAGCTCTGCCTGTCTTGCAAGTTCAAGGAGGAAACCACGTCCAAGCCTGTGGCAGCCCCCCGTGCTTTCAGCAGCAAAAGTTCTGGGCAAATTAGTCTTTAAAGCCAGATTCTCAGGCCTGAACCGACCCCCCTGGTTTCGAGCCACCCCCCACCAAGCATGGGCTGCAGCTTGGCTTGCTGCTGCTGCGAGCTCCGCTCTGCTCCCATCTTTGGGTGCAAGGCAGTCAGGGTCTGTATTGCAGAGGGATTCCTCATATACGTTATGTTTTAAAATGCCGGTGGCGTGCGGACAGGTCTCCCAGGGCAGGAAGGCAAGTGGCCTGATAGCACCGGATGCGGCCCCCACCAAAATGATTTTGTACCAGTTGGAAACTGGAAGAGAAGCACTTGCGAGATGCATCGAGCTTGGTCCATGAAGTGCACCTGTTATCCACCCCAGCAGCCCCCAGTGCTTCCACCGCTGCTTCCAGCCTGGGTTAGCAGCTCCCTGGCTGCCGCGCTCTCACCCACCCAGCACCCTGCCCATTCACGGGTGCTGAGCCGAGCCCACGTCCCTGCACGGGTCTGACCGGTGCCCTGTGTTTTGCAGCGGGGGCACGCACTCCAAGGTGGTGCTGATCTCCGAGGATGGCAAGATCCTGGCTGAGACCGACGGGCCCTGCACCAACCACTGGGTAAGAGCCGTGCGCCCTGTGGTGAGTAGGGGGGCACCATGGGGTGCTGCAAGGAAGAAAAGGGTGCTGCTATGGCGGTTAAGGCCCTTGCTCCTCTGCCTCTTAAGACTCTGGGGCATTTCTCCTGGTCTCTTGGGATCTATGGTTTGCAAGCTCTGGGCCAAGCTGCCTGCATCCAGCTCACGGCCCTGGCAGCTGCTAGTGGGGGTGCCAGCAAGGACCAGGAGAGAGGCAGGAGCTCCTAGGTTGGGGTTTGGGGATCGTAGTGCTGCATCCGGGTGGGGGGCTCCTGCCCTGCTTGGTTCCCAGGGCAAGGGGTGCAGAACGACACCTCTTCTCTGGGCGACTGCCAGCGCTCGGGTGAAGGGTGCCAGGCTGTGCACAGCTTGTGACACCGTGTGTGTGGGGGGGTGTTTCCCCCTCCCCGCTTGCCCCAGCAGCTGGTCGGCTCTGAGAAATGCCTGGAGAGGATCAATGAGATGGTCAGCAAGGCCAAAGGAAAGGCGGGCGCGGATCCGCAGGTGCCCCTCCGCTCGTTGGTGAGTGCCCGGCCCCTCCTGCCCATGCCTGCTGCTTCCTGGCCCCCAGGACCCGCAGTGTCCAAAACAGAGCTGCCTGCCCCCCGTGAAGTGGCGATGCACGGGTCGGCGCTGGGCTCAGGAGGGTGCCTGTGGGAAGGGGGGAGCTGCTGGTGGTGGAGAGCTGGGAGCCCTGTAGGTATCTCGGGTAGAGGTTTTCCACCATGCCTGGCCCAAGGCATAGAAACCACAGAGAAATGGGGCTGGAAGGGACCTGCAGAGGCCTCGTTTAATCTGAGGCAGGGTCAGCTTTGTCCAAACCAGGACAAGGGAGGATTAAAACCCCCCGGTGCATGAAGCAGAAGGGGCGGGGGGCAACCAGCACAGCCCAAAGAAGGTGACTGACGGTGACACAGTGAAGCAGGGAGCCCCAGTGCCTCCGTCTGGGAGCAGCATCGATCCTCGTGGGTAGCCTGGAGAGGGGCCAGGGAATAACCAAGCACCCAGCGATCCTCTGCTAGGAGGCCTGGGCAGTGCAGCAGACCCCTGGGCCCTGGGGAGGGGTCTCAGGTGCTCACAGGAGGCTCAGGGCAGTCCTAGTCGTCACCTCGGCCTCTCTCAGTACATGCTGCCAGCAGCTCCGATGCTCTACAGCCTTCCCCCTGCACGGTGGCTGCCCCGGCTGAGCCCGGGGCATTGAAACAAGGGTGTAGGGGCAGAAATGAAAGCAAACCTCAGAGCATCCAGGATGGAGGGGAGGGAAGTGGGGTCGTGGACTCTTACCCAGGTACTGTTATGTGCTGGGCCGGGTGTGGGAGGATGGCTGGCTGGGTCTCCGGTACCTCTCCTCCACCATGCTGCAGAGGCTGACGCCAGAGCCGAGCTCTGGGGATACGGGGTGGCACTGGGGGTACGGGGTCGGATCCGTGAGCCTCACCCCACATCTGGTGCAGGGGCTGTCCCTGAGCGGCGGGGAGCAGAAGGAGGCCATCAAGAAGATGATCGAGGAGCTGCAGACCCGATTCCCGCAGCTGAGCGAGAACTACTACATTACCACCGATGCCATTGGCGCCATGGCCACGGCCACCGACCATGGTAGGCAGCCCGAGAGCGTGGGGTGGGGGTAGGTCCGGCGGCACTGGGTTCTTGGGCAGGCTGCCTCTGCTGACGCCCCCGTAGCTTCCCACCAAAGCAGGGACCCCCTGCCTCATGGGGAGTCTTCACAGGGGTGCAAAGGGCACAAGGAACCCGGGGCCAGCAGCCAAGACGCTACACCCTTCTCTTCTCCCCTGGCAGGCGGCGTGGTGCTGATCTCGGGGACCGGCTCCAACTGCAAACTCATCAACCCCGACGGGACGGAAATTGGCTGCGGGGGCTGGGGCCACATGATGGGGGATGAGGGCTCCGGTAAGGCCGTGTGGGTGTGTGTTTGTGTGTGTAAACGGTGCTGGTGCCTCCTCTCTGTCCTTCCCACAATGCCCTGGTATTTGCACGTGCATGTTCGAAGTGAAAGAGCACCTCCCTGAGCCGGCGGAGTCTTATCCCAGCCATGCAGCATAGCATATGCTTGGTTGCTTATCCAGAGACCTAGCGACTGATCCCGCTGGGGCCCTGGTCAACCCTGGCCTCCTTGTGTTGCATGGAGTAAGGCCAGAGATTGTGACCAGTTGAGGTCCTCTTGCAAACAGGTCCCTGTCCTAGGATGGATCCAGGAACTGGGGGGAGAATCCCCCAGCAGTAGTCTCACAGTGCGCAGCCCCCCGGGAAAGCCAGAGCCGGTGGGAGGGCAGGGAGGATCTTGGAGGAAGCAGGCCCCTGGACCATGGGCTCTGTGTCGGTGACGCTTGGAGGCTTTCCCCGCAGCCTACTGGATCGCACACCAGGCTGTGAAGATCGTCTTCGACTGCATGGACAACCTAGAGGTGCCTCCGCACGACGTGGGCTACGTCAAGCAGGCCATGTTCGACTACTTCCAGGTACCAGCTGCCCCAAGCACAGGGGAAAGCCCATGGAGGGGTGCCACGGAGACCGGTCCAAGCGCCGGATGGCTTCGGTGGGGTGGTGGGGGCAGCTAGGGCAGCATCACCTGCCTGGTCTTGTCCCCGCAGATCTCGGACAGGATGGGCCTCTTGACTCACCTCTACCGGACCTTCGAGAAGTCCAAGTTCGCCGGGTTCTGCAAGAAACTCGCGGAGGGTACTGGCACGGCCCATGTCCTGGGGGCTTTGCTTCACCCTTTCCTGGTGGGACCCAGAAGGGAGACCCAGGGGAACCTCTCCTGTTCAGAGGTCACTGAAGACCCCCAACCCCAGTCCTCCTGGTCACAGCAAGCCAAGACCACACTGGGCTTTCAGTGGAGGTCTTTGTGAGAGTCCATAAAGGACATGGAGGATGGATGCTGCCCTGTTGGTCCCATAAGCTCGGGTCCCCCTGCTGCAAGCTGGAAATGGGGTCCACTGCCTCATGCAGTGAGGGGTGCAGGCTGGGCTCTTCATTCCCGGCTCCTTCTGCTCAGGTGCTCAGGCCGGGGACCCGCTGTGCTGCTACATCTTCAACAAGGCTGGAGAGGTGCTGGCCCGGCACATCGTGGCCGTCCTGCCCAAAATGGACAAGGTAACTCTGGCGTGGCTGTCCCCAGGGTGTCTGAGCCCAGCATTGAAGGGGGTGGGTGCATTGAAGGGGTGGGTGCATGGAGGGTTACTGCACTTGCCCAGGGGCTGGGGGTAATCCTTCCTCCCTTGCCTCTGAGCAACGTGACACAGTCACCCCCGATACAACCCCAGCGTGCATTGTTAAGAGACGCGGCCCAGCCATATCTGTGGGCAGCTCAGATCCGCAAGGTGGGCCGGCACCCCTGACTCTTCGCTTGCCCTCTAGAGCCTCTTCCTGGGGGAGCTGGGGCTGCCCATCGTGTGCGTGGGCTCCGTGTGGAACAGCTGGGACATGATGAAGGACGGTGAGTCTGCAAGGGGCCCCGGGGCAGCAGCAGGGGATGGACCCTGACCCAGCACCTGCGTCCTGGGGTGGACGAACCTTGCCGGGGAGCGCAAGTCTCTCCGGGGAAGGCGTCGATGCAGGGCAGGGCTGTTGCATCCCTTGCAAGGGGTCCAGTGCTGGTGTCTGACCAGACAGCCTGGGTGTGTAGGTGCCCCCAGATGCCCTTGTTTCCGCTCAGGTGAGCATCCTCCTTCTCTGCCAGAGCTTGGAGGCCCAGCAAAACCCCGCAGCAGGTATCTTTGGGACTCCCGGGTCCCTCCCTGCCTGAGCCGGCCTCTGCTCTTCAGCCTGGGGCTGCTGCATCTATGCCTCACTCGTGCTCCCATCTCGCCCTTCCCGGCTGCTTGTGTGTCCCTGGCCTGTGCCCCCCACCGTTGCTCTACCTAACCCTAGAGCCAACACGCAAGGGGCACCTGAGAGCTGACTCTGCTTCTCAGCACCCAGAGCTGGGGCTTGACGTCCCCCCCCCGGCCCCGTCTCTGGTTGCAAGCCTGGACTCTATCGAGATGGCCCCACTGGGCAGGGTCAAGGGGTGGCCGCAGGGGCTGCCTCGTAACAAGCAGGGCTAGCAGCAGCTCCGGGCCCCTTTACAGGGTTGCTTCTGGGCTCGTCGAGCTCTCAGTATGGAGCTGGAGTCGTCTGCTGCTGCCCTGGACACCGCACCTGAGCAGCAGCCCCTTATCCAGCCCCCTGCTTCCCCCCAGTGCAGGGGATGGGAGCAAGGGGCCCTTCGACTGGGAGGAAGGGCTGGGGGGAGATGGCACGTGGTCAAAGCTGGAAGTCTCCTTCTCCAAAGAGAGGGGGCTCTGAGCAGCAAGGAGCCCCTGCCCCGATGCAAGATGCACTGTCCCTGCTGGGCACCCCACGCCCTGGGGTTTGATCCTGACTTGCTTTTGCTTGAGCCCTCTGCACCTCCATGGGACTGTGTGTGAGACGCTCCCTCCCTCTCTCAGGCTTTGTCCAGGTCCTGAATCGGGCCAGGAGCGAGCACCCAGGCAGCATCTTCTCCAAGTTCAGCCTCTTGAAGCTGAAGCACTCATCGGCGCTGGGGGGAGCCAGCCTGGGAGCCAAGCAAATAGGCCAGGCCCTGCCTCTGGACTACACGGCCAATGTGGACATCTTCTATACACACTCCTTCTAGGCTCCGTCCACTCCCCCCGGCGGAGGCTTCTCCGTCCACCTGTACTGTCCACTCCGGGTATCAGCCATCCGTGTTTGATTGTTGCCGTCTCTCTCTCTGGGTCCGCGTCCGAGTAAGAGGCTGCGTACGCCAAAGGGAACGTATCCGGCTTTTGTACAAACGGGTTTTGTAATTCATTAATAAATGGCTCTGAGCACTCCGGCCTCCTGTCTCCCCTTCTGCCTCGTTGCACCGTCCTCTGCACCGGATGCCCTTCCAAACGCCCCGGGAAGACTGCTTCTGTGCCCCCGAGCCCACGCGGGGAAGGAGTGGTGCAGCTGGCTCTCGGCAGAGGTGAGAGGTGGAAAGCAGATCGAAGGATGCATCTCAGGTCCTTGTTCCCGCGGGGTTCATCCCCAAGGCTCCTGCCAGCCCCACGTGCACGCCCCTTTGCACGCGTGTTTGCTATGGGTTAAAGCCCCTGGTTTTGCTTTGATGTGAGCTCTGGCTCACCCACCCTGCAGCAAGGAGGCAAGAGAAGCCGGTGTAGCTGAGCTCATGTTTCGTGTCCTCCCGTGCCATCTCCCAGTGCCTGAGGCCTTTCTTCTCCAGCTCTTCTACCTACTCCAGCATGGCAGAAATTACCTGCAGGCTTGGATAGAGCTCGTTGGTACTTAACCCTTCATTCCCTGCATCGGACCGGCAGCTAGCAGCATGCTGCCATGTCCCGGGTCAGACTCCAGGTTTATCTTGTTCTGTGCCACGCAGAGGCTGGAAAGGACCTGGGTCTGGGCAGGGTTTGTTCCTCTCTCCCTTGCAGCCTCCAGCATTTCAGGTCTCTCTCATACCTGGAAGAGGCTGCTAGAAGTGGGAACTGAGTGAGATGCTGGGGGCGCGCTGAAGACGGCCTGGCAGCTGTGGGTCCGGCCACCCTCAGTACCACACCGTGGAGCCGGACCAGGTCCTCGCTACTTCCCCAAGGACAGACTTCACAAGCCTGCACGAGGCAGGGCGCTGCGGCCGTCTGGAAAGGGAGGGGAGGAGGTTGCAGAAACCGGAGGATCTGCAGGATGAGCCGCACCAGTGCTTTCACCTCTCTCTTGCCGTGCTTTTGGTGAGGGCAGGAGCAGCTGCTAGAAACAGGAGCAAACTCTTGAGGTCAAGGGGTGGGGACAGAAGTACATCAGCTGCTCCGCAGGAACGGTGTCCTGTGTCTGCTTTACCCTGCGTTTACGTGGATGCTAACAGGGCTGTTTTCTGCAGGGATACGTGGGAAACAGCCAACCTTGTACTCAGCACGGAATGGGGGTGTGTGTGCATGCGTGTTCTTGCCAAAATGGTGTAGCATGGAACAGCTGTGCACACATGTATGTCGTGCCGCGTCCAGACTGACCTTAGCAATCCCACTGCTCACTAATGACCTGGAGGCGCCAGTCCGACCCCAGCCTACCAGCATGGCACACTGCACAAGGCTTTGTCCCTTTTCTCCCAAGGGCCTGGTCCTCTTCCACCTATTCGGC